TAGGAGAAACCTTATTTGTTACATGTTGTTCTTACATAACAAGGCAGTGGCTTTATACATTAGCTGGCATTTGAGAGGGTCAAATCTCTCCTTGGACCTATTTGACAATTATCCTAAATTTGTAGATGGCGTTTAATTCATTAACCTTCAGTGGACTTTTGAAGTAAAAGTCTTTTGATTGGTATGATTTGGACAGTTCTCACAAATGTTAATGAGCAGCATGCTTTAAACATAATATTAACACAATTTTGTGGCATTATTTGGGCTTTATTCACCTTTGCTAGTAAAATTTTCTCCTTTTCCTAGAAGAGCTAAATAAGGACTTTAAAGATGCAAAAGCGAGTTACTGGTGAGGAACAGGAAGAAATTCTTTGTAGCAAAAGAGTAAGGATAGCTATAGTTTCTTCAGTGCTAGTTTAGGGTGGGTTGATTGGTTTAATTTATAGCTGACAGTTTACAAAGGCCCTTTTGTGATAACTAGCTCCCTTGATGCTGTTTCTTGGCACTTGGCTACAACAGTTCATGAGCCTACAAAGTTTTAGGAAAGGTGCAAAATGGAGTTTTAGTCTCCTTGCTGGATTGGCTCCCAAATTTCAATAGTCTTTTCTGTGGACAGGCTACAATTGTTTAGGGTCATGAAATTACATGGTTGTAAGACTAAGAATTGGGGTCCCAGAATGAGAATTTATTTTGTAACCTTCACTAATAATTTTCACAGTTGACTGTACCAGCTTATTGACAGTAGTCTGTACTAACCAGAGATGTGTGATTGAAATTTTAGGCAGTAAATGTGGTCTTTCTTTTTGTAAATCATGTCAGATAGGAATCAGATCAGTATGATAGTCTATCACATGAAAAGAAAAGGGAAAGGGCTTAATGGGAAATGTTGCGTTAAACAAAATCATTGATAAAATGTTGAGTACCTACTTTTGTGGAAGGCATTATATATATTAGGTATTGGCTATACAGAGATGAAAAAAGTAGACATCTTTATCTTCGTGGAACAGTGTTAAGTGAGTTTATTTACTGTTACGATTTCTTAGAGTCTTTTAATATGTCTTTGTGTGCTGTGATTTGGCAAGACAGGTATACAGGATGAGAGATTCTTAAACTTACCTGATTACAGAATTCACTTTGGGTAAAGCCATATCTTATGATAATAGCGTTCTTCAGAACCTAGTTTGAGAAATATTTAATGACCGCAAATGCAAGACCAGTGATCTAGGGGCATAATTTTTTTCATTCTTTTTGATCATTGGTAGTCTCTATATTGAAAGGTGGATGGTAGCTGCACATGGTAGTTCAAGCCTGTAATCTCAGCACTTTGGGAGGCTGAAGTGGGAGGATCCCTTGAGCCCAAGTTCAAGACCACTCCGGGCAACATAGGGAGACTCCTGTCTCTACAAAAAATACAAAAATTTTCTCAGTGTGGTGGCATGTGCCTGTAGTCCTGGTGACCCATGAGGGTGAGGAGGGAGGATTGCTTGAGCACAGAAGGTCGAGGCTGTGGTGAGTTGTGATCACGCTGCTGCATTCCCACCTAGGTGACAGAGCAAGCCTCCATCTCAAGAAAGGTGGATGGCTTTAGGCAACAAATTTGGGGGCGGTGGAGGCGGGAGAGAGAGAGAGAGAGAGAGAGAAAGAGAAAGAATATGTGTGTTTGTGATGGTGAATTTATGGTGTATGCTATTAGAAAATGTTGTTATATTAAGTCATAGAAAACTGATGGCTACTTCTGGGAGGCTGGGTGTGGTGGCTCATGCCTGTAATCCCAGCACTTTGGGAGGCCAAGGCAGGTGGATCACGAGGTCAGGAGATTGAGACCATCATGGCCAACATGGTGAAAACCTGTCTCTACTAAAATATGTTTTAAAAATTAGCCATATGTGGTGGCATGTGCCTGTAGTCCCAGCTACTTGGGAGGCTCAGGGAGGGGAATCACTTAAACTTGGGAGGAGGTGGTTGCAGTGAGCCAAGATCGTGCCGCTGCACTCCAGCCTGGTGACAGAGCCAGACTCCATCTCAGAAACAAACAAACAAAAAAACCAAAAAAATTAGTTGGGCGTGGTGTTGTGTGCTTGTAATCTCAGCTCCTTGGGAGGCTGAGGCAGGGGAATTGGTTGAACCAGGGAGGTGGAGGTTGCTGTGAGCCAAGATCGTGCCACTGCACTCCAGCCTGGGCGACAAGGCGAGACTTCATCTCAAGAAAAAGAAATAAATAAGTAAATAAGAGAAATATGTGCAGGAAAAAATCTATTCAGATTATTTAATTAGGCACAAGAAAAGTGGGCAGCCAACTTGGAACGAGTCCCCTTGAGTTGTGAGGCCTGACTCAGTCCCAGCTGTGTCAAATCATGTCAAGCCTCCACGAGCATTTTAGGTGTATAAATGGAGCTCATAACCTCCTTCCTAACCAGGGACAGTGTTTTGCCAGAGTTCCAGGTCCCCATGGAGAGGCAAAGGTAGTTACTATCTAAGGGAGTATATCAAATAAAGCATCCAGGAGGATGTTAAACACACGCACACACACACACACGCACGCACGCACACACAGAGCTGAGGAAGCTATATGTAAAATTATTTCCCTTATGCTTTGGGCTAGGGTAGGCTTAAGTGTGGAACACCAATTACTGACATTGATAGGAAGGTGGGAATGTTTTGGTCGGTACATCTGCCTGTGGAGGTATTCACAGTCAAACTAGGGTAATCTACATGAGCCAGTAATTTTTGCTTACCTAGTGTAACAAGGGCCTTTTTATTTTTCATTTATTTATTTTTTGAGACAGACTCTTGCTCCTGTTGCCCAGGTTGGAGTGCAGTGGCATGATCTCATCTCACTGCACTCCACCTCCTAGGTTCAAGTCATCTCCTGCCTCAGCCTCCTGAGGAGCTGAGATTACAGGTGTGTGCCACCATGCGTAGCTAACTTTAGTATTTTTAGTAGAGATGGGGTTTCGCCATGTTGGCCAGGCTGGTCTTGAATTCCTGACCTCAGGTGATCCACCCACCTGGGCCTCCCGAAGTGTTAGGATAACAGGCATGAGCCACTGCACCCTGCCCCTCATATTTTTTTTATAGTCATCCCTTTCCTTCACTGCCAACTCCTGGCAACCACTGTGTCCATATAATTTTTCCTTTTCCAGAATATTATATAAATGGAAGCATACTCCTGATTCATTCTTTGTTTGGAGAAAATTTAGTAAAATTCCAAAATTTGAACTTTTCCTCAAAGCAAACATATCACCTTCTTATGTTTTCAGGAGGGAAGAATGACCATTTTACGTAGGACCAATGCTGCCTCATTTTTTCTGCTTACCTTAGGTTTGGATTGTGTACATTCTTTGCATAGCCCATTTCCTCTTCCTCGTGTACCTAGCATTAATGACCTGGATTACATCAGAGGTGGCCATTCTCTGATGGCATATTCATTCAATATTGGGTCATTCAGTATTGGGTCATTCAATATTGGGTCTGACCAACAGTTCTAGCAACTCAGAATTAAGTATTTTCTGAAACTTCCCATTAGTCAGGAAAATCCCCTATTCTTAAAAAGTGAAGTTAATGGCTGGGCGTAGTGGCTCACGCCTGTAATCCCAACACTTTTGGAGGCCGAGGCGAGTGGATCACCTGAGGTCAGGAGTTCCAGACCAGCATGGCCAACATGGCGAAACCCTGTCTCTACTAAAAATACAAAAATTAGCCAGGTGTGGTGGCAGGCGCCTGTAATCCCAGCTACTTGGGAGATTGAGGCAGGAGAATCGCTTGAACCCGGGAGGTGGAGGTTGCAGTGAGCCAAGATTATGCCATTGCACTCCAGCCTGGGTGACAGAGCAAGACTCCGTCTCAAAAAAAAAAAAACAACAAAAAAAAATGAAGTTAATACAAATAACTTTCAATAAAATATTAACTAGAGTAGGCATATAAGTTTTTATCTGATAACCAGTGTGAGAACTGTCATATTTTATGCTTTTCTAAAAGTAGGGTGAGAAGTAGGAAGAAAACTAATGTAACCTCATAAAATTCTGCCCAATAGAACGCTATCATAGAAATGTACACCGCTAGGCATGGTGGCTCATGCTTGTAATCTGAGCATTTTCAGAGGCCAGGGCCAGAGGGGCTGCTTATGAACCTAGGAGTTCAAGACCAGCCTGGGGGAACATAGTGAGATCTCGCTTAAAATAAATAAATAAATAAAAGAAAATTAAAAAATAACTTTTTTTTTTTTTTTGAGACAGATTCCCATTCTATTGCTTAGACTGGAGTGCTATGGCACAGTCTCAACTCACTGCAGTCTCCGCCTCCTGGGTTCAAGTGGTTCTTGTGCCTCAGTCTCCCGAGTAGCTGGGATTACAGCGTGCACCACCACGCCCTGGCTAATTTTTGTATTTTTAGTAGAGATGGGGTTTTGCCATGCTGGCCAGGGTGGTCTTGAATTCCTAACCTCAAGTGATCTACCCATCTGAGCCTCCCAAAATGCTGGGATTATAGGTGTGAGCCACTCTTCCCAGCGTACAAAAATTTTTTTAAAAAGAAAAAATAATTAAAAAATACTAAAATATACATATCTTTCTGTCTGGGATGTTTCAGATACATAAATATTAGAAGGAAGACATTTAATAAAGTCATGATATATGTGTCTAAGTACTATTATCTGATGGTACTTTTGATAATCCTGTAGCTATCCTGTAATTGTTTTCTTAATCCTGTATGAAGGTAATAAAAATAGTATCATATACTAATTTATAAAAAATTAAGGAGAAACCCAGGGAAGATTAACAGTGTAGTTATCTATGTTTATTAATCTCTGAATGTTTTATGAGTTAGGGATTTACATATTAAAAGTTCTCTTACAGACCTAGTTTATTATCTTTGACATGCCAATGATGATTTCATATGCAAGGAAATATACCAAGTTACAAATAGAAGGGATCTTTTTGTTTGTCCTGATTGACTTACTGAAATTTATGGAGCTTAAAAATTGGGGGAACTTTTTTTTTTAAGGCTATGAAAATGATTCTGTGGAAGATTTGAAGGAGATGACTTCAATATCGTCACGGAAGAGAGGTAAAAGAAGATACTTCTGGGAGTATAGTGAACAACTTACACCATCACAGCAAGAGAGGATGCTGAGACCATCTGAGTGGAACCGAGATACCTTGCCAAGTAATATGTATCAGAAAAATGGCTTACATCATGGTAAGAGGGAATTGCAGTCAGATATTTATTGTCCCTTTAGTTAAGTTGAGATACTAATCCATAATTCTTACTCTGCGTACCTAGGCATTCAACTCTTCCTAGCAAACTGGAGGTGGGGACTGTAGAGCTGCTACATTTGCCTTACTGCTTTGCATCACTCACAAATAGCTTTTACCAGTGTTAGGAGTCCTCACCTAAGCAGGGAGGAAGGACTGTGCAAACATGATTTCATTTCTAGTCCCTTCTTAATCTACTTACCTCATCCAGGAACTGACTGCTGGTTTCTGATCTGTCACAGTTGCTATGACCAGAAGGGTTGAGGAGAAAGTGAACAGGTTCTCTTGAATTCTTGTCTAATCCCCAGATCTAAATGTAATTTGGGGGACTGGAATTCACTTGGTAGTGGGGATAAAAGGGTAAGGAAAGAAAAGAAAGGAAGGGTGGTTATGGAGAAAAGGAGTAGTAGAGAAGAGTTGAATACCTAGAGGAGGAATCAGAGGAAGTTTATAAAGTAGTTCAGGCCATGTGCTGTGACTCATGCTTGTAATCCCAGCACTTTGGGAGGCTGAGATGGAAGAATCCCTTGAATCCAGGAATTCAAGCCTGCAATGAATTGTGATTGTGCCACTGCTCTCCACCTGGGCGATAGAGTGAGACCGTGTCTCTAAAAAATTTTTAAAAGTGACCATCTTAGGTAGGTCAAATTTTGAATTGTGAACTCAGGAAGCTGTCATTAAGTAGAATTTATTCTGCACAAATGTTGTTTTTAAATATAAAATTTCTAGTTCTTCTGCTCTGAGTTAAAAAAAAAAAAAAATCCAGAGTCTACTGAAAAAAGTGGAGAGGGGAACTACTAGTAAGCGTGATGGTCAGTAAGCAGGCTGTTTACTCATCATACAGATGGGAGTTGCTAAGAATTTTTGAGGACACAAATTCCATCTGACATATGTTTGTGCCTCATTTGCCCTTTCCACTAGCATCCAGGTGTACTATATTGTCTCTCAGTAAATAATTACCAAGTTTTTACCCTCAGATAAGTTTTCTACTGGAAATGAAACATTAAGTCCAGTCAATAATTCCAAGTAGCATATGATGGGTACTAGAAAAGTTATAGGAGTTTAGAGGACAGAGCCATCCCTTTTGCCTGGAATGATAGACCAAGACCCCTTGGGTCTTCTATAATGTTATTTATCAAAGCAACCAAAGAAGAGCTTTTTTTTTTTTTTGAAATGGAGTTTTGCTCTTGTTGCCCAGGCTGGAGTGCAATGGCCTACTACAACCTCCGCCTCCCTGGTTCAAGTGATTCTCCTGCCTCAACCTCCTGAGTAGCTGAGATTACAGGGGTGCGCCACCATGCTTAGCTAATTTTGTATTTTTAGTAGAGATGGAGTTTCACCATGTTGGTCAGGCTGGCCTCAAACTCCCGACCTCTGGTGATCCACCCACCTTGGCCTCCCAAAGTGTTGAGATTACAGGTGTGAGCCACTGCGCCTGGCCCAAAGAAGAGCTTTTAAACAAGGTTATGCTTGTTGGATTTTCGAGTTCAGTACAAAAATGTGTATGTCTGACAATTTTCAGGAATAGCATCAGAAACATCTTGGTTTGGGTAAAATCTCTAAACTCTCTTCTGACTGTATCTTATACCCTAGTCCTGATTTTGGTGTTTAATTGAACTTACACTCTGATCCTGATTTGAGGTGCTTAGTATGCCATGCAGATAATTAAGAATCTGTCATTCTGGGACTAGAAGCCTAGGGTACGGAAGAACTTGGAAAAAGTTAGAACTCTGCCATATCACCCCTGTTTCCTGAGCCACAAGATGGGAAGGAGAAGAGGCTAGCCCTTCTAGGATAGATTGTTAAGCTTGCTGACTTCTGAAAAGAAAAGGTAGTGGTGGGGAGTGGCTAAAAATGTGGCTGTGAAAAATGTGTCTCTTGTTAATTAAAGTGATCTAACTTAAACTTCTTATAAACTGTTTGTAGGAAAATATGCAGTAAAGAAGTCACGGAGAACTGATGTAGAAGACCTGACTCCAAATCCTAAAAAACTCCTCCAGATAGGCAATGAACTTCGAAAGCTGAATAAGGTGATTAGTGACCTGACTCCAGTCAGTGAGCTTCCCTTAACAGCCCGGCCAAGGTCAAGGAAGGAAAAAAATAAGCTGGCTTCCAGGTAAATGCTAATAATGTTCACTTATGTGAAGAAAGTTTAGGAGGTGAGGTTAGGCCCTAAGTGAGTTTTTATAGAAGGTCAAACATTTCAACCATTATTCAGAAATTATATTTTTCTTTTATAAATACTACAATGAGAATATTATAATTTTTCTTTTGAAAATAGATGGTATTTATGTTTTATGGAAAAAATTTTCAGAGGGGAAGGATGAATGGACTGTGGTACATTATGTTATAACAATAAAAAAAAGTTCATAGCTTTATTTTTTGTTTTTAGTAAGTCAGAGTTATTGAGCTATAACTTAACAGTAAAATGTATACCTTTTAATGTATATACTTTTATGAGTTTAACAAACACATCCAATCATATAACCACCACCACAATCAAGATATTGAACATTTTCATCATCTTAAAAAGTCCCCTTATGCCTCTTTGTAAAAGCAAGCACCTTCCTGCACCTGAAGCCCCTCAAAACCACTGATCTGTTTTCTGTCTCCATAGTTTTGCCTTTTCCAGAATGTCATGTAGATGGAATACAGTATATGTATGTGGCCTTTGATGGAATCTGTCTTCCTTTTTTTTTTGAGACAGAGTCTCACCCTGTCGCCCAGGCAGTGGCCTGATCTCAGCTCACTGCAACCTCTGCCTGCCAGGCTCAAGCTATCCTCCCACCTCAGTTCCCTAAGTAGCTGGGATTATACACATGAGCCACCACGCCCAGCTAATTTTTGTATTTTTTGTAGAGACAGGGTTTCATCATATTGCCCAGGTTGGTCTCAAACTCCTGACCTCAAGTGATTCACCCAGCTTAGCCTCCCAGAGTGCTGGGATTACAGGCATGAGCCACCACAACCAACTGAATCTGTCTTCTTTCACTCAACATGACACATTTGAGATTCTTCCGTATTGTTACCTGGAGTAATAATTTTTTCGTTTTGGTTGCTGAGTTGTATTCCTTTGGTGGGGATATACTACAATTTATCCATTCACCAGTTGAAGGGGATTTGGGTTGCCTCCAGTTTTTGGCAAGTATGAATAAAACCACCATGAACATTCAGTTAAACATGTTTGTGTGAATATAAGTTTCCATTTCTCTTAGATAAGTATCCAAGCATTCTCCAAGTAGCTGTATGTACTGTTTTACATTCCTACTAGCAACGTGAGGTTTCCCATGCTTTACATCCTGTACAACTTGCGGTATTTTCAGTNTTGGGTTGCCTCCAGTTTTTGGCAAGTATGAATAAAACCACCATGAACATTCAGTTAAACATGTTTGTGTGAATATAAGTTTCCATTTCTCTTAGGAAACTGTCAAACTATTCTCCAAGTAGCTGTATGTACTGTTTTACATTCCTACTAGCAACGTGAGGTTTCCCATGCTTTACATCCTGTACAACTTGCGGTATTTTCAGTTTTTGTTTGGTTGTTTTTGTTTTTTAGCCACTTTAATAGGTGTGTACTGATCATAGCTTTATTTTTAAATGTGTGCTAAATTTTTAAAAATCAGTTTGCATAAATGATTATGCTGTGTTTTCTGGTAACTCAGTTATTTGATAAACGTCAGTAGGCAGTGGTTTTGGGTTGCTGTTAGAAAATGAAAGACAAATATTCACTTAAAAAGGAAAGCAGACTGGGCATGGCGCCTCATGCCTATAATCACAGCACTTCAGGAGGCCAAAAAGGGAGGGTCACTTAAGCCAGGAGTTGAAGAGTAGCCTGGGCAACATAGTGAGACACCTTCTCCATAATTAAAAATAATAAAATTAAAATTAAAGAAAAAGAAAGTGAACTAATTGCTCCTTCCTTTCACAGAGCTTGTCGGTTAAAGAAGAAAGCCCAATATGAAGCTAATAAAGTGAAATTATGGGGCCTCAACACAGAATATGGTAAACCTAAAGTTTTAAGAAGTTGATTAACCACCTATCGATTTGCTGATCACTCTCTTTTCTTTGTTTTGTGATTTGCGTTCCCTGTATTCTGCCTAGTTTTTGGCTAGCCTTCTATATATTTATCTTTGGTAAGCTACATGCTCGCTTTCCTTCATTCTTGTCCTCCTTTTAGTATAAGATTCTGTACTGGTGACCTCCCAATCAAAATCTCATCTGTCTACTAACAAGCTGATCCACATGTGACCACAGTAATTTCTTTTTTTTTTTTTTTTCCCTGTAAAAGATGTGGAAAGTTTTATAAGGATAGACAGCAAAAGCAACCTGCATTTCTCAAAAGATCACAGTAATTTCTTACTTCTATTTTATAATTGTGTTACTGGGTTAGCCAGTTTTGTTGACAGATTTTAATATTTCCCCCAAATTGAATAATGCTATTTTAGGTTTTGTATGAATAATTTAGATCTGTGTTTTTCAGATTTGATTGCTCATTGGAATTGTCTGTGTACTTGGTTAAAATACACATTTCTAGGCTTCTCTGCAGATCTCCTGAATTAGATTGTGTACAAGTAGAACTCAATATTTTTAACACGTCTCAGATTACTCTTTTTTGTGTTTGTGTGAGACAGGGTCTCACTCTGTTGCCCAAGCTAGAGTGCAGTAGTGTGATCACAGCTTACTGCAGCCTCAACTTTCCGGGCTCAGGTGATCCTCCTATCACAGCATTTTGGGAAGCTAGGAGTACAGGAGTGCGCTACCATGCCCGGCTGATTTTTTTGCATTTTTTATAGAGATGGGGTTTCAACTGTGTTGCTCATGCTCGTCTCAAATTTTTGGGCTCAAGCAATCCGCCCACCTCAGCTGCCCAAAGTGCTGGGATTAGAGGCATGAGCCACTGTACCCAGCCAAGATTAATCTTTTTTTTTTTTTTTTTTTTTTCGCGAGACGGAGGCTTGCACTGTCTCCCAGGCTGGAGTGTAGTGGTGTGATATCGGCTCACTGCAACCTCTGCCTCCCAGGTTCAAGTGATTCTCCTCCCTCAGCCTCCTGAATAGCTGGGACTACAGTCCTGTGGCACCACACCCAGCTAATTTTTGTATTTTTAGTAGAGACAAGATTTCACCATGTTGGCCAGGCTGGTTTCAAACTCCTGACCTCAGTATTTTGAAGTGATCCACCCACCTTGGCCTCCCAAAGTGCTGGGATTACAGGTGTGAGCCACTGAGGCTGGCCCCAAGATTATTCTTAATGCAACCATTCTAGCACCTATTTGGAAATGATTAGTTTTTATCTAAACCAAAGTGCTTCTTGGCTTTTCACATTGCAGCACATGTAGAAAATTGTCATCTTTGAGGCATCATGGAATATAGTAAGAGTAGACTGCTCATGGGAGGAGGTCGCTATGAGCTGAGGAGTTAATTATCTTACACATTTGGAACCCTTTTACAGCACTTCAGGGGTATGGGAAGCTCTGATTTTGATTTTCTGTGATAAGAACACATCTTTTCTCTCTTACTTTGTTTAAGCCTGGTAATATAAGAGTTAGTGTATTCATTTGCCTCAAAAATTGTCCTCTTCAATATGTAGTTCTTGGGTAAATTGAATCTGAAAGTGAAACAGTGTGAAAAATGATCAGTTATTTGTTCCCAGAGGTTTTCTTGAGTTTAGCATGTCTTGCACATAGGTACTTAATAAACTGTGCAGTTTTTCTAAATCCTTTATTATTTTATTTCCTTTGGTGAGAGGAGAAAAAGAATTTTTAACTGTAAAGTTTACAACTGTAAAGTTTATGAGTGAAATGAACTCATGTTTTATTTATTAGCAGCCACTCAGTAAATGAATTAGATAAAAATAATTGTTGGTGTGTTCAAATGAAAAGCTGTCCTTTTTCCTATTATTCTTTCTTGCTTTTGAAACATTTTGACCTTGAGCTCAGTTAGTGGTGCCCTGGCCTCCTAGATATCTGGAAGCCACTCTGTTACTTCTTTATGGAACACTTACTGTCCATTATCCATCAGCCCAATGGTTTCTAGAATTTGTGATTTACAATTTGAAAAAGATTTTGAGACTTGAGAACATGGGCTTACCAACTTTATATTTTGCCAATTGAGAACATTAAAAAGAACATCATCTAGTATTACTATAATTTCATATGAGGAAAAATATTTTAGTATTTAAAAAATTGAGAAGGTCATAATCTCATAATAGAAGATAAATTTAGCTTTATGAAAAATGTACTCTGTTGTCTTTATCAGTTTTAATATGTCATGAACTGGTGTGGTTGCAGGGACTAGCTTCAGGGGCCCACTGTACTACTCATCTCGTCCTATCCCACCAAACTTCCTTCTTCTATTGATTCCTGCTGCCAAAGCTCACTGGAGACTGCTCTGTGAATCCCGTGGGAACTTGTTGACTCAGAATGAGAAATAGAACTCTTAGCCCTTCACCCTGACTGATGGTATTTTGTCCCTAAGAAGGCTATATGGAAAAATTAAAACCAGAAAATTCCTTCATGAATATGACATCAGAGGAGGAGGATCTGTTTGTGAGTTGAATGTTTGGACTCAATTTCTGAAAGCCAAGTGCTTCTATTTCCTAAACCAGAGGTTTGTGGTAGCATGAGAGCCCTTTCCCTTTTCTCTCCCTGCCCCATAGTGTGCTTGGACACTGTCAAGTCTTGAGAACTATTCTACTGTTTTACTTTAGATTTTATAGTGTTTTTTCTTTTTTAAAAATATTATACTTTGGGCTCTGGGGTACATGTGCATATCCTGCATCCTGCAGGATTGTTGCATAGGTACATACATGCCGTGGTGGTTTGCTGACTCCATCCCCCTGCCCCGTCGCCTACATCAGGCATTTCTCCTGGAGTTAGCCCTTCCCATCTTCGCTGTCCCTCCCCTCCCCTTCACCCTTCTACCTAGCCCAGTGAGTGTTGTTCTCTTCCCTGTGCCCAGGTGTTCTCATTGTTCATCACCTGCCTATGAGTGAGAACATTCGGTGTTTGGTTTTCTGTTCTTGTGTCAGTTTGCTGAGAATGATGATTTCTAGATTCATCCATGTCTCTTCAAAGGACACTTAACTCATCTTTTTTTATGGCTGCATAGTATTCCATGGTGTATATGTGCCACATTTTCCTTGTCCAGCCTATCATTGATGGGCATTTGGGTTGGTTCAAAGTCTTTGCTATCGTAAACAGCGCCACAGTGAACATACATGTGCATGTGTCTTTATAATAGAACGATTTATACTCCTTTAGGTATATACCCAGTAATGGGATTGCTAGGTCAAATGGAATTTTTATTTCTAGATCCTTGAGGAATCACCACACTGTCTTCCACAATGGTTGAACTAATTTACACTCCCACCAATGTGTAAAAGTGTTCCTATTTCTCCACATCCTCTCCAGCATTTTGTCTCCAGATTTTTTAATGATCGTCATTCTGACTGACGTGAGATGGTATCTCAATGCGGTTTTGATTTGCATTTCTCTAATGACCATTGATGATTAGCATTTTTCATATGTTTGTTGGCTGCATATATGTCTTCTTTTGAAAAGTGTCTGTTCATATACTTCGTCCACATACTTTATTTACTTTTAACCTGTTGAGTATGGGAGAACCCTATTGTGCAAATATCCTTGAGTAAGTAGTATTCGCTTTCAATTATTCATGGAGAAGAAACAGATTTTTTGTTGCAAGTGATTTAGGGAGTTAGCTGTACTTTCCTTGTTCAATGACACATTTTACATACATTGGCCCTGAATGTAGTTTTTAAATTGTCCCTCTCCCCCATTATTTCTCACTTTCCTCTTCAACTGCAATTTAGATTGGCCCCCTTCTTAGTATTGCTAGATGAAGAATAACAAATCACTGGTTTCTACACCGGGTGTTGTGACACACTTCTGTAATCCCAGCTACTCAGGAGTCTGAGGTGGGAGGATTGTTCTGGTTGATAGAGAAATACCCCATCTCTTTAAAAACAGAACAAAACCCCCAGATCACCAAGGCAGTCTCTGAAGAGGTAGAGATTAATTTCAGACCATAGGAATCCTGTGTGCTGAAATAAAAACTGTGTTTTCCTCACA